CCCGTCTTGTCGAGCACCCTCTTGAGGATCGAGATGTACACCTGCACGTAGGGGGCTCCGCGTGCCTTGTAGTCGATGGTCTCGCCGGCCTTCTCGCGCTCCTTGAGCGTCTTCGACTCTAGATCGTAGGCCGCGCCTGCGGCCTTGCACACCGCGCCAACTGTGTTGGCGTCTCCCTCCTCCACGAAGTACGTCTCGTAGACCGTGTTTTCCAAGGACGCGAGCTGGCGGGCCCCCGACAGCACCAGCTTCGCGATCAACACGAGCAGCTCCGTCTCCCACTTGTCGCCGTCCTTCTTGACGCCCTGAATACGGGAGCCTCCTCGCGCGTGTTTGGCCTCCGATTCTGGGGCCGTCGTCGTCCTCTTCATCCAGCTGGGCATCTCCACGTCCGCGGAGCCCGATCCTGCTGCTGTTCCGACCTCTGGCATGTCTGGAAAGAAGGTGCTCGTGGGGAACACGATGCGGGAAAGGAAGCACACGATATGGAAGATGGGCCAGTTGATGGCTACGGAGGGCCTCCCAGTCCCCACCCACGAACGAGCACATGTTGCAGCTGAAGTCTGTGGGCGGTTTGAACTCTACCAGAGATCGTGGCTCCCAACGTCCGCAGTATCCTCTCAGTATTGATGCCTGTAGATGTCTAGCAGCAGTAGTTTGAGAACGAAAGACACGAACACATACTGGGCATTGATTCGTTTTGGTGAGAGCGTGTGGGAGGTTGCGGATGTGATGACGGTGACGTAGGTGCTCCATAAGCCCCTTCTGCGTCCTGAAACGTGCTCCACACTCCTCCTCTGGCCCCTCCCCGTCCCTGACGAAGGTTGTGCACTTGTAGGGGTACTCCTCCTCCTCCATCTGATCGTTGGTGCCTCCTTCCTCCTCCGTCTCCCTCTGCTCGAAGTTGGGGGGTGGGATGGCATACGTGCGTTCAGCGGCTCGGACTCTGCGGAAATCGATTCGGGCGAAATCTCGACGGCAATCATCATCTTCGATCAGTAACCAAGGGCATTCTCCAATCCTAGTGAGCAGCTCCTCCTCATCATAGCAAAAACGTACCGACTCAAGGATGTCCGTCCCGACTCTCTGGGTCCAAGGGGAAGCGTATTGTGTCAATCCCGTGGCGCTACACGGCATCGCATCCATCGCCTCGAAGGGGAAAGCGCCGAAGAGTGCGGACAACACCTGCACGTGAGACTCCTGATTCACTGCCCAATCCTGGTACCATGCAAGACGCCGTGCTAACAACTCTCGTTTGGTGGTGACAACCCCCCAGTATGCCAGGACCTCGTGCGTGCTGAGCGTGCGCTTGGACCCGTCCTCCCTCGTCGTGCAAGCCCTCCCCCTCATTGCCATTCTTCCCAATCTTGCTAGGTGTCTATCCATAGCTTCCATTTGTTTAGTACTTACTAGGAAAGGTTCCATGCCCGTTAACAGAGAACCCTGGACTAACCCTTGGAAGATCGTACGACGCCAGGCCTGAGGAAGAGGAAGGTTCCAGAAACCACCCATGCTGTAGTACGATGAGGTCGCTGCCGAGAGACGTCGTTCGACCTCTGGGGAAGACTGCTGTGTGGGTGTTAATACTGGTCCCAGATATCTTGCCACATCGGTAACTGTTCCCTCCATCTGCTGCCTAGCTATACCGTGCTCTCTGATGTGCTTCTTGCAATCGGTGGCGCGCTGTCCTTCGATGTAGAATAACGTGACCTGCTTGCTCTTGTTCTGCGTGTAACCTGCCGTGGCGAGTGCGGTATCTAGTAGCTCGTCTGATGTACGTAATGACTGATATACCTCACGCATGCTAGTGCCCGTGGCCAGTGGGATCGTTCTTAACAAGTCATCGGCGTATTTCTGGTATGACATGTCCGCTGGTTCACCGCACCATTCCCCTAACAATATCGAGGTCGTGGGTATACGCTCTAACATACCTGCTGCCCATTGATTAACTGGATCAACAAAGGCTCCTGAGAAACCGTGAACGTTAAAAGGGTCTCCCATTACTCCGCCAACTCCTGTTTTAACCATCAGTGGACCCGTCGTGGTGTCTAACTCTACAACTGATAGTCGATAACGTTGGCGGCATAATACTCGATCACAAGGACGAACTGTTTCTCGGACGACTTCATCTAGCTTGCTCCATTTAGTACTTCCAAAGGCATTCGAAAGGTCCTTAAGCGTAACTGCATATGACCACTTGGCCTGTCTCAACCTGTAGCACACAATCATCGTCGACATGATTGCGTCCTCTCGGCGACGGTGCCTTGCAAAGCCGTGGTCCTGAATGGGAAGCCTGTGGGATATCCGACGTGCATACCAAGCCTTCCCGATGGCGGGAAGGGTGTGGATTACTCTACGTCCCCTAGGCCCCGCTGAGTCGTTTTTGTGGAGTCCGATGCCCTTGGAACGGTGCCAGTACAGCGGCGACAAATCTGTTCGTCTTATCTGAGCGAGCCCAAGATGAAGAAGGTGATGAGTTTTCCGAAGATCAGGGGGTTCCTCATTGTGTCCCAGGCCGTGTCCCCGAGAAGAGATGCCGTGCGAGGGGGACAAGAGCATATCCCAGATCTCCAGTGGCGTGGTCCCTGGTGGCACCACCCGTCGTTTCCCTGCCTTCCTGCAGTAGCTCCTAAGCGTGCCGAAATCCTCGCCAGCCAACTGTGCAATGGCATCCTCGTCGCCTGCTGACGTGGGGGGTACTGGTAAGTTTTCCCTCTCTTGCCTCCACTCCGACCAGTCCATTTGTCTCGCTTCCATACCCCCTTCAGGCCCCGTTTTGGAAAGGTGCTCGATCCAGACTTCTTTGTCCAGGGGAGGGGGTCCGAGGCGGCGTCCATCCCGTTGTTTCGCACCGAATCGAGTCCTTGCCGCCTTCCTCGACAACGTCGTAGCATCCGCCATCCTCCTCTCCCTCCACGCCTCCTCGATCATCTCGATGTACATCCTCCTCTCTTCCCTCCTGGCACGCCGTCGTTCCACGAGCAGCATAGCAGACAACCTCTTCAGCTCCTCCTCCACCTCCAGTAAGGATAAGACAGCGGGTTGTTCACCCAATGTTTGCCCCTGCGCTGTGTGGCTCAAGGCTACCAAAACAGCTCGCTCCTTCCTCAGCTTGTCCTCCTGGTCCTCCTCCACCGGTGGCAGATTAAGTTTGGACTCCTTAAGTTGAAGACGCAGTCGCAGCAGCTCTCGTCGACGCTTGGTTGCATTAGGATCCGATGCCTGAGGTGCCCGCGAAAAATGTCGGTGCCCGATGGTAGTCAATACATCCTCCATTTTCTCGAAGAAAGTGTCGGCCGATCCTGTCTGGGCGTAGCCCTCGAACTCGGCCTCACGTGCTTCCAGTTCCGTAGCTACTGCCTGGAGGAAGTCGCTCTTACCTTTCCCACTGCGGACAGCTTGCATGAGCGCCGACGGGTCCATTCTTTTTGGGGGGGCCAGGGGCAACATATACGGGTCCTTTTCATAGTCCAGCACGAGACAGAGAGGTAGATGATCACGGGGGGGTAGTCCCTTGATTGCTTGCAACTGAGCCCCCAAAGGGCGTAATACCTTACATACCCGAACACGTTCATGGTATCCAGCAGGGAGAAACCAATAGTCAATTCTCGATGCCGTCGGAGGGTTGGCGGACGAGTAGAAGGTGTTCTCGAGAGGGAGGAAGGTCGACGGCGCGACGAGGTGCTGCTCCTCGAGCAACTTGCGGATTTCCTCGCCCGCTCCACGTCGTCTGGCCTCTCTGTTCCTATAGGGACCGATGGAGGAACTCGGTGGTTCCGTCCATGTACCTGAGATTTTGGAGCATCCTAATCCGTCGTTTAAATCAGCGTAAAATATGGGCAATGTGCGCGCAGGTAGTTCTTGTAACAGGTCCCTCATCCATCTAGTCAGTGCTTGCACCGTGGCGTAGTAGGGGCCTGCTTGTCCACGCTTGGAGGGTTGTGGCGGGTAGTAGAGGGCTCCCAGGGTCACATCCACCGCACCACGTTTTATCCTGGCAGCCACGGCCCTCCCCCCACAGTTAGCTGGAGACCCCCACACCTGGGCGACGTCCTTGTCACGGTATTCTGGGCCTAGTATTACTGCGCACCCCGTCGAGCTGTTAGTGTAGGCCCCAGGCGAATAAACTGCCTCGATCACCAGCCTCCCATCCACCCTTCGTCGTAGTACTCCCGTCCCCCTCCTACAACTCTCCTTGGTCCCTGCAAGCAAGAGGGCATCGGAGGGGCGGGTGGCGGCGAGCAGCTCGTGCAGCCGCTCGCCCGTCGCGTGGAGGGGGTTGAAGGCGAGGACTCGCAGGGCGGTCCTCGCCGCGGCGCCCGCGCTAGCGCCATGGGCCCGACGCATGGAGGAGCTCTCCGACCCCTCGGCACACTGTGGAAGTGCCGTGAACCCCTGTTCCTGGCGGGCCCTGAGCCGCGCAGGGGCTTGCGGAGGAGGAGGAGGAGGAGGAGGAGAGCAGGAGGAGGAGGAGGAGGAGGGAGAGGGGGGAGGAGGGGGAGGACGGAGAACAGGAGGATCGAGGACCCTCCTCCCCGTCCGTGTCTTTATCTTCCTCATTCCCCTCCGTGGGTGCGCTCCTCCTCTTCCCCGTCCCCATCTTTCTCGCCCTCACCCTTCCTGTGCTCCTCGCCCTCCTCCTCCTCCTCCTCCTCCTCCTCCTCCTCCTTCGTGCCTCCGTGCCCTCCTTCTCGCCCTTGCCCTCACCTTCGCCTCAAGAAAGAGGTTGCGGGACAGATGCCGTTTGTCCACGGGTCGACGGGCTTGTGTAGGAGCGGTGCCCCCGTCCCCTCCCCCGTTCGGGACCACTTTCGGGCATGGCCCGTAGCGCAGATTGACAGAATCCCACGATAATCCTCCTCCTCCTCCTCCTCCTCCTCCTCCTCCTCCCCCTCCTCCTCCTCCTCCTCCTCCTCCTCCTTCTCCTCCTCCTCCTCCTCCTCCTCCCCCTCCTCCCCCTCCTCCTCCTCCTCCTCCTCCTGCTTCCTGGGGGCGTGCAGGCGCCCGGAAGCTGAGGCAGATCATCGACAAGGCTCCGGGCCACCTCAGAGCCCGCCGATCGGGCCACGGGAGGAGAGGAGGCGCAGTCTCCTTCGGATCTCGGCCCTCCTCCTCTCCTCCTCCTCCTCCTCCTCCTCCTCCTCCTCCTCCTCCTCCTCCTCCTCCTCCTCCTTCTCTTCTCCTCCTCCTCCCCCCTCCTCCCTCCTCCTCCTCCCTCCTCCTCCTCCTCCTCCTCCTCCTCCTCCTCCTCCTTCTGCTCCTCCTCCCTCCTCCTCTCCCTCCTCCTCCTCCTCCTCCCTTTCCTCCTCCTCCTCCTCCTTCTCCTCCTCCTCCTCTTCCTCCTCCTCCTCCTCCTCCTCCTCCTCTTCCTCCCCCCTCCTCCTCCTCCCGTTCTCCTCCCCCTTCCCCCCCGGACCTCCGCAGCTCTCTTCGGGCGCTCTCGCCTCGGACGTGTCCGAAGAAGAAAAACCATACATAGACTTATGGCGAGAGAAAAACACATAAACTTCTTGCGCAAGAAGAAACACACTTTTGTTCGTCAGCCAATGGGTCGAAGAAGGAAACAACACATAAGCATAAACTTTTGGCGCTCCGCGCGAACTTCTTGGATCCGCGCCTCGGCCCCCCGGCGGCGCCTCCGGCGCCGTCTCTGGCGCGCTCCGCACGCCAGGGAGGGGGTGTCCAGCGCGAGTCCAAGAAATCCGCGGGGAGCGCCAGAAGTGTATGCTTTAGCGGTTTTTTCTTCTTCTATAAGGGGGGAGGTGTTCTCGTCTCGGGATGCTCTCCGGCAGCTGCGCCTCGTCGAGAGCTCTCCGGCGGGGGGGAGGGTCTCAGATCTTCCCGATGGGCACGTGTTCGTCAGTCAATGGGGGGGGGGTTCTCGTCTCGGAGTGCTCTCTGGCAGCTGCGCCTCGTCGAGAGCGCTCCAGGGAGGGAGGGGCAGAAGCAGATCGTCCCGATGGGCCGCCGGAGCCCCGCGCCGTGGCCCAGGCATCGAGCGCTTCGGAGCAGCAGGGGGAGCATCCGCGAGCGTTGCGCCGCGCTCGGCCTCCAGGGGGCTTGCGTTCCGCCCCGGGGCCGGCAAGGACCGCAGAGGATGAAGCGCCCTCCCCTGGGAGGGCGTGGGGACCTCCAGGGAGCCCGCACGGACAGCGGCGTCGTCGGCACCGTCGTTCCCCCCCCTCCCTCTTGTCTGGACGTCGGGGGGCTCCCATTCCGCCACGGCTGGAAGCAGCCCGAGAACTTGGCCAGGACGGGCGCCAGGAGATTGCGAAGTCTGCGCGGTGGATGATAATGTATACCCGTCGCCAAATGAACGCGTAGATGGCCAACTCTTTTTATCACCAACTGCTCGGTAGCGCAAGGTGCAGATGCCTCAGCGGTGTGTCTAAAACGGCATCTTCTCCACCACTCCAAGGGTTATCCATATTCTCGGTGCCGAACGCATTTCTGCCGCTCTGACACCAATCGCCAAATGCGCAGTTCTACTTATGCCGCTCGAGAATTTCTGCCGCTCTGACACCAATCGCCAAATGTGCAGTTCTACTTATGCCGCTCGAGAAATGACCTCAGGCAACCCGCCTTCATTTAACCGTCGACCAGTTGCATTGGCTAAGCCGTCAACCCTGCGGAACGAAAACGCGAGAGTCTAGGGCATTCCCTTGGATGGCGCGGGTCTCCTCCCCGCTGCGAGCACTGTGCCGCCGCGGAAGTTGTCCACTTGAGGCTCACGGTCGCTTGCCCAACAGCGGCCACTGCCCGCTTCGGGCAACGCCTCCCGCTGGGCACCGCGCCCAGTTAGAGTCAACCCGCACAATAAGGATGGGCAGCCTTCCCATTGGAACCCTGGCATCCTTGCCCCTTCGGCCCATCCTTGGCCGCTTTCGCTGGCCGCGCCCCGCTCGCAGAGTGCCGACATGGCCTTCCGAGGCCCGTGCATTCCTATCGCGCATTCTTCTCATACGGGTTGACTGCAGTCCGTGCCGCGCTCGTGCGTGCCACCAGGAGGGTTGATCGCCAGACCAGTTCTTCATCCTGAGTCGTTCTTCACGGCGCTGGGGCTCGAGGAGGGTCCCGGGGGCCCGAAGGGAGCGGAGAAGAACCTCCAGGACACCTCTGGATTCGTTTCTGAGCCCGTTCGGCATCTGAGCCAATGCGGCCGCCGAGTGGTCGGCCGAATGCGTTCGATTCCCGGGTCCACCCGGCAGCCAAATGGGCTCAGACACCAAGCTTGTTCTAAAGGCACATTTGGGACCGACCTTGGGGTTGTTCCTATCAGGGCCCCCCTCCCTTCTTTCGGGACAGCAGAGGACTGCGTGTTGATGGCACGCCGCCGTTGGAAGCCGATGAGCGTGTTGCTCTTTCCGCTTGGCCCGAAGAACTGGCGCTTCTCTTCGACAGTGGCATGTTGATGCCTTCCCCACGGCGACGTGTCCGTCATACTGATCAACGATTCGGGCAGCTCGATGGGCGGCGAGGGTAGGGTTCGGAATTCGTCGGGCACGTGGCGTAATCCGAGCCCTGCCCCCGCCTCCCATCGGTTCAGGAGATTCGTAGATTCGCGGGGAACATGTAATCTCGTAGACATGAGTTTCGGAGGTCCGCGCGGATTTTTGTTGGATCGGCGCTGGGCCACCCTCCCTGGCGCGCGGAGCCCGCCGGAGGTGGCGCTGGAGGCGCCGCCCGGGGTTCCAGCGCTGGCCTGACTAATCCGCGCGGACCGTCGAACCTTTGTGTTTATGCCGTTGTTTCGTCTCCTCTGGGCTCAGGAGAATCGGTGATTGGAGGGTTCAGGGTTCGGACGTCGCCACCTATAGGGGAGCAAGTAATGGCATACACGCAGAGACTCAGAGGTCCGCACGGACTGTCGGAAGGTCATGCTTGTGCCGTTGTGTTCCTGTAGGTTCAGAAGAATCGATGGTTGGTTCGGCGGCGAGCGAAAAAGGGAGTGAGAAGGAGAAGGCCGTCTCAGAAGGCGGCGGGGCTTCTCAGAAGCCCTCTGGCCTTCTGTTAAATGGTCTGCGTCTTCGGGGAAGGCTCAGAACACTTCTCAGAAGGCCGGGGGACGTCCGAGTCTTCTGGGAAGGCCCGCCACTTCTCACTTCCCCTCTGCGCTCGCCGCCGATTGCACGTTGAGGAGAACCGATAGTTGGTGGGGTTAGGGCTCGGATGTCGCCACGTAGTGGAGGAGGGTCGGCGTCACCCCAACACACTAGCACTGTGTGTGCGTCTCCCTTCCAGGGGCGACGCGCGCCCCGAGAAACCTTGCGTGGTCTAGGCATCGTGGCGGGCGCTTTCTGGCCACACCGCTCGGGAAACGATCTACTACAAGATGGTTCTACTAGATGTTCGGGGCCGACGCGCGCCTCCATGGAGGACGTATAGTGCTGGCGTGCCCCTGCGCGTCCCATGGGGCGCCGAGGTTCCCGGGCCCCACCTCGTCCTCACCGCCGGGGACGCGCCCGCGCAGTACCTGCCCGGGGGCGAGGTCTTCGAGGCGGGCCGCGGCGGGGGGTGGGCCTGGGTGGGCGACGGCACGGTTGGGCGAGGCGAGCGAGCGGCCTGTCGGGAGAAGCGGCGTTTTTGTGTATGTGTATATATATGTATGTATGTATGTACATCTGTACATATATATATATATGTGTACATATATATATATATATATATATATATATCAAAAAGAAGCAAGTGGAAACATATGAAACAAATGCGGCGGACAGTGGCGGATGGGGAAAATGCTGAGGAGGGAACGGTACCGAGACCGCTGCCGTTCCCTCGGTTTCCCCTGAATGGGCCTCCTGGGAGGCTCTCGTCGACCCCGCTGGATTCGCCTCTCAATTCTGGCCAGACGGCACCCGGAGAGAGGTCCCGGGAGTAGCGGTAGTGATATCTTATTTGGGTTCCCCGAAAATGCTTCGGTCATGGAAATTTTGTGCGTCCTCTTTGCTCCGTCTGTGGAGCGCATTGGCGTACGATAGGATGGGTGTCTGGTAGTCGATGAGAACGCGCCGATTAGGCGTATAGCGCCGGTGGCAGGCAGTCCTATTCGGTGGCAAAGCATTCCGTCTTTAGAGTGTTTTGGCATCGATTGGCATCTGGTAGTCGACGAGAACGCGCTAGCTCAGCGTCGGCTCAGCGTCGATCAGCGCCGAGCGGCGTGGATTGGCGTCGGTCCGCAAATCGAACGGCACGGGAGGCCCCCGTGAGTTGCCACGGAAAGAAGTGTGAGCAGCACTTTAAGGGAGGAAAAACAACCCGGATCGGACAATTGGCGCTCACTAAACGGCCCTGGGCGTTTACTAAACAGCCCCGCCCTGTTCGATTCCTTCTTTGAGCGCGTTTGCTAAAGGCCTCGCGCGTCGGGTTATTATCGGGGTGGATTTTCTGCCGTCTGGTCTTATTTTCGGACTGGCGGCTGGCGGGCGGGTTGGCGGCAGGCGCCTTCTGGAGCCAGCCGCCGCGCCCGCTCCTCGGCGGCCCTGGGTGCGCTGGCTGGGCTGCCGGGGGCCGATTGCCGACGAGGAGGAGGAGGAGGAGGAGGAGGAGGAGGAGGAGGAGGAGGAGAAGGGAGGAGGAGATAGGAGGAGGAAGGAGGAGGAGGAAGGAGGAGGAGGAGGAAGGAGGAGGACGAGGAGCAGGAGGAAGGAGGAGGAGGAGGAAGGAGGAGGACGAGGAGAAGTTCGAAGTTCCGAAGGTCCGCGCGGACTGTTTGGGGCAGCGGGCCCCCCTCGGCGGCGCCGCCCCTCGGCGCGCGGCGCGCGAGAGAAGAGGGGCCCACTGCCGACCCAAGAAGTCCGCGCGGGCCTCAGATCGTGCCATCTGTCCTCCGAGGCAGGAGTTTCCCCATTCAGCGCCTGCGATGACGGGGTCCTCGCAGAGATTCCCCAATCAGTGCTTGCACCGAAGGGGTCCTAGCGGAAGCTGAAAGGTTAGGCGAACGTTTCCCGCCGATTTTGGTGGCTTGCTTTGTTCCCGGGTTCCCGGGTTCCTGGATTCCTGTTTGTTGGTTCCGGGCCGATTTCGGTGGGTTCCGGGTTCTTGGGGTCCCAGGGTCTTGGTCGATCTCTTTATCGATCTCTTTATCGATCTTACGATGTCAAGTGTCTTAGGCCTCAGTCCGCGCGGGCCTCAGATTATGTCAAGTGTCTTAGGTCGGGCATGCCCCCCTACAGGCCGATATTGAAAGAAACTACAAAATGTCAGGACATATTCCCAACACACATCGAGAATGGTAGAAACATCGCCCCCGGATTTGTTTTCATTATTTTGGAGTACTCCTCGTGTAGAGGGACACCGACTTAACAATTGTTTTCCGAGGCGGGAATGTATGTATGGATACGTTCGGGCCCCGGGGGGCCAAAACATGTGCAGGTCCGCCGCCCGCGGGGGCACCAGGACGTCGGTTCCCAGGCGGTGGATATGGGTAAATCCCCGCCTCGCACGTCTAGTGTTGCTTTGCCATTGCCACGCGGCGACAGACACGGCGAGAGGCCGAGCGAGAGCTCTTCGATTGCCGCCAGAGACGTCTGCCCCAATCCGCCGCCGAGTGGGCAGCCGAACGGGCTCAATTCGCACATGGCGGTGGGAAGTTTGATCATTCGGCAGCCGTCTCAGTTCAAGAGACGATCGAAAAGGTTCCCAGATAGGCTTCATATACACCAAATAAGGAGACCAGTTAAGAGTTGTTCTAAGAGTTGTCAGTTTGTTATTTTTACCATGCTTTTTTACTTCATATGGTTTCTACTTCAGATGAGTTCTACTTCAGATGGCTTCGGAGTTAGCGGTTCAGCGAGCCCCAACACGGCCCGGCAACGTTCGAATATGACCCCACAGTGGCCCCAGAATTCACTGCACTCCCGCTATCCCGAGCGGATAGCTTTTTCTAGTGCGGACGGTCCTCGTTTGCGGTCTTCGGTGTCAGAGGCTCATTCGGTCTGGCTCTCATGGTTTCACCATCGGCATCGCGCCTCACAATGTTGCAGCGCTTTCCGTCCAAGTGCTAAGCCAGGTCCAGCAGAGGCCACTGCTTCGTTGGGCTGGCCAGCTCTTTGAGCTTCAGAATGTTCCGTTTTGTCCTGTGGCGCGGTACCGGAAACGATCGTGCGTTCTGGGGCGGGCCGCCGGTGCTCGCAGGCGCCCTGCCCGTGCTCGTAGGCATTGCGCAGGGGATCGAATCGCAGGCCCCTGTTCGCAGGCACAGCGTGGTGTTCG